TGGAATGGAATGTAGAATAGAATAGAATGGAATGGAATGGAATGTAGAATAGAATAGAATGGAAAGGAATGGAATAAGAAAGAAAAGGGAAAGGAAGGGGATGGAATGTAGGGTAGAATAGAATAGAATGGAATGGAATAGAAATGAAAGGAATGGAATAGGAATGGAATAGGAAAGGAAAGCAATGTAGGGTAGAATGGAATGGAAGGGAAGGGAATAACAGAGTTGGAAGGGACCTTGGAGGTCCTCTAGTCCAACCCCCTGCTTAGGCAGGAAACCCTACACCACTTCAGACAAAGGGTTATCCAACATCTCCTTGATCCAACACGATACGGGATCCATCGTCTAACAACGGTTTTGCTCAAAATAAAGGAAATCTCTTTTGCAGGAAATCTTGGCTATGTCACATGCCACGTAATCCTCCTTTGGTACAGTCCCTTCCGCGCATCCTGACTTGGGTTTCTTCCCTTTTCTGGGCCCACCTCCCCAAGTAGAGATGGTGCTCAACTTACAACAGTTTGTTTAGTGACTGTTCAAAGTGTGTGTGTATGAGGAAAGGATTTATGACCGGACTTACGACCGTTTGCAGCATGCCCGTGGGGTCCTGTGATCAAAATTCGGACGCTTGGCAATTAATTCACCTTTATGACGGTTGCAAGGTCATGCGGCCGGCCGTCTTTGGCGACCTTCTGACAAGCAAAGCCAATGGGGAAAACCAGATTCACTTAACAACCGGGTTACTCACTCAACAGCTGCAACCGTTCCTTTTAACAACGCTGGCTAGAAAGATGGTAAAAGGGGGCAAAGCTCGCTCAACCGTTGCCTCACTTAACGACACAAAGGGGGGGGGTCGACTGTGGTCATTAATCCGAGGATGGCCTGCCTGTCTCCTCCCGGCCCCTTTTTTCTAGCTCTTTTATGCACTGTTCAGTCTGCCTTCCTCCCCATAAGTCTAGAATCCGCTGCCTTAAAATTTCCTGCCATGCCGTTAATTTTCCCCTATTAGAAAAAGAAAGGGATTGCCGTAAATTTCTCCCTCATCCACGCACACCCAGCGCTGCAGGCATGTTAATTAATGCAACAGGAAAAAGCACTGCACCAAACGTGTGGTTGTACGCATGCTGCAGCTGAGAGAGACAGACAGACAGACAGNAAACAAAACAAAAACAGCGGAGAAGAAACAAGGCGGGATATTCGGAGCGGTTTTAGAGCAACCTCCGCCGTTCCTTCTGTGCATTTCATGTTGATGGGAAGGCTTCTTGCCTCTCGCCGCTGCTCAATCTCTTTCTGACTTTCGGGGGCAGTGGGGTGGGCTCGGGGAAGAGGAGGGGACTCTGGACATCCAAGAAAGCTGACGGAAGGGCACACTTCTCCGATTAGCACATGGTGGCTACGCAACCAGAGTTATAAGCAATTGCTAAAAATCCCAAATCCATCTGGATCCTCACAGTTCAAGACAAGTTTGTCTTTTGCCGTCATTTTTGGAGTGCCTTAAAAAGCGAAGGGAAGAATAAATCCTGGAGCAGAAGGGCGATGGTTCCTCAACTCTGGGCAAGTGTGAGATGTGCGGACGTCGTCTCCACGCTGGCTGGGGAAGGGGGAATTCTGGGAATTGAAGTCCACGGCAGCTTCAAGCGGCCCAGGTGGTGAGAAAACCCCCCACAAGGGACGAAGACGGGGGAAAAAAAAGTCAGGTGGATTCACCCAAACCAGGGACTGATGCGATTCGGAAGAGGAGTGGGGGAAGAGTACATTCTTTCAAGCTGAAATTCTTCTTGCCTTGAATTCCCACCTCAAGTTAAAACAAGAATTCAGACGTTAAATAGTAAGGAAGGGGCTAGAATTGTTTTTTTTAAATAATAATAATAATAATAATAATGGTGACGGTGTTTACAATATTTTTCCCAAGGGCAAATTTTGCCCAAGTGGGATCCTCGGAGCAGCGTCGAGAACCGAACGGCCTTCCGACTACGGCCACGAGGCTCCAAAAGGCAGCGACTCTCAAACCAGGAGGAGGAGGAGGAGAAAAGTGGCCGGCATCTGGGCATCTTGATCTGCTTGCGCTTCGCCCATCACCACCACAAATTCGGCGGCTCCTCGGCCACTCGGCTCTTGAACAAGGTGATCTCGTCCAGGTGCATCATGGGGACGTCCCGGATGACCTCGGTCAGGTCTTCGTGCAGGAGAGGGAAGATGACCACGTTCAGCGCAGGGCGCTCGGCCTGGAAACTAACCCAGAAACACAAGCGGGGTTAAGGTCAGAGGGGGACGTAGAGAAGGGGGGACGGCATTGTTAGCAGGCCCAGCTGCAGACCCAGAAAACCCCCGATCCCAGCAGAGGGAATCTTTAAGACTTACAACCACAATGCAACTTTACGTCGGGCCACAAGGTTTATGGATTGTAATTTTAGAATAGTTAGACCATGTTCTAATTGACAAAATGGATTTTATTATAGACTAGCCAATAACCCGGCATTGCCCGGATATTTATTTATAGGGGGTGGGGGGGGAATGTCCGGACCAATCGTAATTTCTAATGTTGGATTTTTCCCCTTTACCAGAAGGGAGCCCCCTGGTGGAGTACTGTGAAGCCGTTACCATGGCAAGTCCACTGCGCTGTACAGTAAGAGCCATTTTAAGGCACAACAGGATGTATCTTAACATAGCATACACCCCGAAGGGTATTAGGGGTGACTTATCCCAATAGAATAGAATAG